GTTCGACAAAGACACGTAACACTGTTCCGGCAGATACATCATTGAGGGGTACTGCTTCAGGCCATCGTGTGAAACAGTCGATTCAGGTTAAGATATAGGTATATCCATGAGATTCCGGAAGAGGTCCAACCAAATCTATATGAATGTGTTCGAAACGAGCATCAGGGATAAGAAAGGTGCCAGGGGGCTTTTGGCGTGTCTTACTTCCTTGCACTTTTGGCAAGCTAAGCATGTGTGCCCATTCCCTTACTTCTTTATTAATACCAGGTCAACAAAGTCGACTAGTTACGAGCTTGACGGTATTTCGAATATATGGGTGTCCACTTCGATCATGTGTTCAAACCTAGCCTGCAGTTCCTCTGCAGACAAGGGAAGTTTTTGGGAAAAAAGGTAGGCCGGTAGTCTTGATGTGATTAGTAATACAAGAAGTGACACAGGGAACACCACGATTCGGCTTGGAAATTTCCGCAAAAGATTAAATTAAGGTAAAGGACAAACTTGGAGTGTCAGAGGTTCAATACACCGCACTTAAAGAGTTTATTAGTGATATTACCGGAGATCGAGATTCGTATGGTAGTATCGATCAAATCATGCTCGGCAGTATCTACCAGCAACTGATAGTGCTGCGAGAGATGTATACTAAAATTGCCAGTAGTCACATCGGCCACGATAAAAAGCCAACGGAAAGAACGTTAAAGTCTAAGAAATTTCTGCCATAATTTGTGACAGATAAACCATTTGCGCTGCGCAGCTGTAAAGATGCTGGCCGCAGGCACTCTTCTGTTTTAAGTAGGGTAACTCTAGATTCTGTCTCAATATCAACTGTGAAGCGTATCCTAGAGCTACGATCAGTGACATAGAAAAGGCTACACGGGAGAGATTCGTTAGCGATGTTAGTCGCATTCACGTGATGGATCACATATTTCTCGACTGGCTAGTATCAAAGGTGCAAGGACGAGAATACTTGCGTGCGCTGGCATCATAATGTATATGATATCTAAAAATGCCAAGGTGTGAGTTTCTTGATATCAACCACTTTTCCGTAACGCGAGGGATATTTGCTGCGAGTGTGATGGTTGCAGAAGGTTGCAAGAATTCCTTGCATTGTCTGAGGCAACCTCTGCAAAGAAAATTGTTACTGGAAAGTCTAGTCAATTTTGAAACCAGCAACTGACTGTTTCATTATAGGTAACATTTGTCAAGGCTCGCAATCTCCAGGTTGAACAACTCGGAAGCGTTTTCACACTTCCTGCTGGTCAGTGAGTGCTACTCCTTTGATTAGAGGCACTTCCAAATGATTGTGAAGCGGTCATCAAGCATATCTGAAAAGTCCTACATGATTTTTTCAGGAAGACTCACAAATACTAAGTTGGCCTTAGTTTCTCGCGATTGAAAACCCTGCAGACCGAAGTGGGCCTCAACATGTGAGAACTATGAAGATAGCCAATTTGAACAGAAAGTGGAGAGGTGCATAGTAGCTGTCGTCTGCGCAGGAGTCGTTTTCAGCTATAGTTAGATAAGTTATATGATATGAAATATTAAAAATATATCAGCAGTAGGAAAAAACACAAAGAAGATATAAAAATAACCTCTAATGCAAAAGTAGAAAACGAAGCGACTACTAAAAAGATTCACCTATGGGCAAAATGGGTTTAAGATGTGGAAACTAATGAGATTGGGGTTCATTAGTTTTAAGGTATAAGTAGTGCTATTGATAAGGTACATTTTGCCAGGACTTGCTTAACATAATTCGCCTAGTTATCCAACAATTCACTAGCTTGCCTAACCTGTATGTACTGACGACAAAAACACAAATTAGAAAGACTTAGCCATAAAGGCAATTTTTCTCTTGTTAGCAGTATATTCGAATAAAATAAAAGGTAAATTTTATCCAGAGAAAAAGGTCTAGAACTTATCTAACTAATATGGCTATATTGCAAACTCAAAGAATGTGCATGTTGACAGCAGAACAACGGAAATGCGCAAAATGGTGCTGGCGCCAGTCCGTACATGTACACACATTAAAACAAAGTCTCAAAACACCGGAAATTACTCTACAGTTTTACGAAACGTCCACTACATATTTGCCAAAAGATATTGGGAATACGTGTATTTTCCCTCATACCTCTAAAAAGAACACAAATTTATGGATTCATGAAATACTCCTTATTTAACAATTGGTGCTTCTTTTAAACATATGATTATCGATTAAAAAAAGGTGATTTCTCAATAGTATAAAACAATATCAATTCATGACTCTCAGCTTTTAAAATCACATCTGATCGATTTACTTTTCGATTTAGGCTTACTAATTTTTCTCTAGTTTACGTAAATCAAGCACACTGACCGATAAACGATATATATTCTCACAAGAAACCATCATGAAAGACCACAAGAAAATTCATCCTACCATATATAAAAAATATCTCTGAAGTAGCAGCTAGAATATTGAAACCGTTTGAAATAGATATAGCACACAAGCCAGCCAACACAATCACTTCAATCGATATTGTGCAAACCGAAAGATCCAACAGAAAAAGAAGATAAAATTAATACCATTTACAAAATAAATTCTATGAACTGTAACAGACATTATATCGGTTAAAGTGGGCGTCCCCTTCGAATCAGAATCCAAGAACACAAATTAGCTGTGAAAAGACATGATATATTAATATTCTTTCCTATCAATGCATGTAGATAATTATGGACATCACTTTGATTGGGATAATGTCAAAAGTTTAAAAAGAGGAAACACCAAAGGTGCCAAGGAATACCTAGAAGCCTGTATTCAAGTGAATCAGCAATTAATGAACATATTAACATAGACCAAATTTACCAACTAATAAAAAGCAAATAATGTGACAAGAAAGCTCAAATTCCAAGTCAATAAAAAATGATCAATACAGATGTAAATCGACTATCGGTCACGAAGATGGTTACTGCCAGGAGACACAATTCTATCATTCATGGAGAATTTAAATCAGTTCACTTAATGCTAAAAGTTGCGCTGAAGATGTTGTCCAGAAGGATGACGAAAGCTTCGCAATTAAACCAATCAGCTGCTTAGAGAACACAAATAATTGCAAATATATTCTCACTATTATATAATTGTATCTTTCCTACTCGTCAACATCCTTCACTGCCTAAAGGCAAAAATTAAAAAAAAAACCTAGAAGAGCTTGACAATAATTAACTTATTGGAATAAGTCTTACGGATACTCTTCCCATTGTAATGGACCTACCCAGCACGATGACTACCATCTGACTAAACGACGAAGATTCAGCTTCATATTTCTGAGATGACTTCGAATTATTATTCTATGTAGATAGTAACTGAAGGAACACAATGTTGTTCAAAACATAAGATCGAAGGGGAACTCGCAGTCATCGAAAAGAACCTTATCGAAAATGGATACCCTCAGAAGTTCATATTAAAAAATATAGGAAGGAAACACCATCTAGACCGAAACCTGGAAAGAAACCAGTTTTTATCTATCTAGCGTACAAAGGCTAAGAAGTATCCATAGGAACGGAAAACAGAATTATAGGTGCATTGAAAAGAACATTCTCCCTCCCCCTAGACTCATTCCACTTTACAACACAGTATGCTCGTTAACCCAGTCAAAAATAGATAAGTAGCCTGCTCCACATGTCAACTCCAACTGCATTTACCAATTCACCTGCACTTTCGGCAGCAAGTACATAGGAAGGATTGAGAGGAGGACAGCGTCTACTAGATTCTACAAGCATATCCCTAAAAGTCTCCGTTTGAAAGGCAGGAAAGTGTTGTCAAGCGCAATCGCCAGACACCTAATTGACTGACACAGGACATACAGTGGAAATTAGTCAGGCTTTCAAAATAATCAATACACAAAGAAAAGTATGGCTACTTCAATTCACAGAAGTCACTGCCATCAAAATACTTCGACCCAATCTATGTATATATAAAGATAGTGTGTGTGACTAATTTCTTACTACCATGATAACCGTAATTGGTTTGTTCGTGTACTTTTGTGTTTTGTTCTGTTGCATAACATTCCAATCAACCTTGATTTCCACTTACTGAGTTGAACTCACTATTAAGGTTCTAAATCTACCAAATTATTTTGTCTATCTTATAAATTTTAATTCACTATTCACTCCCACCTTCTTGAATTCTCCACCTTAGTGTATGTAGAAATTCACTCTGTTGTTCTATCTTGTATTTTATCTCTAGTTCATGCTTGTTTCCAAGCGAAATATGAACTCCACCCCCTTGTCTAATTACTGTATAAATAGTTACTCTTTTAACACTAAATAATTGACTACTTACATCATCTTTGAAATTATGTTGCTTATACTTTCTATCTATGACTTGGAGTCATTGTAAAAAGTATGTTCAGACAGCATTTTGTTACTTATAATTGATTTTGTTTAGGATGTAAGCAGTTGAAGAGAATCCACGAAATAAAACTACCTCGTATTATCAATCTTGCAAATATGTTCGCTCTAATAACACAAGACTGATGTTAACGAGGATTTCATAATCATTTACCGCATATCAACAAATCTTAACTTCACCTTAAGGGTTCGTCTACTACATTTTGATGAGGCTGTTGGGATATACACTAAGAAACCTAACTTGTGTATGCAAAGAAGAAGTTGGTTCAGACACTGTCCTTACTTACCTTGGTCATCAAGGTTTTAATGATCCTCAATTAGTTGTACAAGTTTCCTTCATTTTATTTGATATTCTATTTGCTATTACATTTTTATGCATATTATAATTTAAGCATCTTTCGTGAACTGTAATTTCATTGGTCTTACTTAACAAATCGACCGTATTTAAAAAAAACCAATGTTGGTAATGGCAATTATTCCAGAATATTCTATGTATATATAAATGTATAGCCCTATGTTCCTCTAGGAATTAAAGGAAATAATAATAATAATAGCCAGAAGAGGAAATTATCAAAAAGGATATTCTTTGCTCAATCATTTTGTGTTTTACCAAGGTTTCGAACAAAATTTATTGTTCATAATCACAACATCAATTATAATCACACAACTTCAAAACTTGAGTTTTATAGTTTTCTTTGTTCTCTCCTATTTGTCGTCGTAGGGGTAGTAGAATTTTCCAGATGCCTAGATGGACAAGCGTTGAATCATTCCTATTACGCGTATTTGCAGTTGATTCGATAAACAAAGCTTCCATTATCAATCTCTCCCTCCACCTTGTGACATTGGATTTTAGAACTGTCATCCTATTGTATGGTTGTGTGATTGCATGTAGTGCTTGCTAAAGCTGAACTATTCTCCAGATTTCTTATCTTATTCGGGTCAGCTAATCTAGATTTCGCTAGGTTTTGATGCTCGGCTAGTCTGACTGCCCCTGTTTCACTAGCTTGACATGACAATCGTTGCAGGGCAGTTTCACTCGCTGGGGACAGAACTCATCAACCGTGTACTCGCCTTAACCAAACTCAGAGATTCCACATGACAAAGCTGATCCAAAAATATAAAAAATAGTAGCAACAACAAGAAGTTTCTTAATTTAATATAATTACATATTCTTTTCTTTTTTAGAGTGAATGAAGAAATACACGTGAGATTCTCACCATCACAGTAGGTATTTTTTCTACTTTGAATACGATTATTAAGAAAGGTATCGTCTACAATAGGCAAAGAATTCAATGTCTTCAATATTATTCTTGTTATTTTGAAAAGTAATTTAAAAAGAAAACGGAAACTGCCAAAAATCTAGGTTTGAAGAAAAGCCAACACAAATACTTTAAATTAATGTCATTTTGAACAAACAAACAAATACGTGTGCGTGTGCGCGCGAAAGTGAATATTCAACGATCAATGTACAATAAACGCGCGCTTATTTTTGTTTTAAACTGTATACAATAGTCCATACTTGACGAATTTTTTTTCCAAAAAATACGTAAATAAATAAAATGAAATAAAGAATCACATTATCATTATCATTACTGAGAATGAATTATAATTTGAAAATGTCCAGATAATACACGATTGCCTAACAGTTTAGCCCATTCACGAAATACTGGTATTGCACGCCGGTTCAAACGTGAACGTAACGCCTTCAATGAGATTGGAGGAGATCTTAGGGAATTAGAATTGGCGTTGTCCTCTCCACCATCACCACTGTCGTTTTCGTTATCATTAATATATACAATGCAAAAGTATATTTGTGAATCTAATGTATCCATATCAATACCTTTAGGGATAGCATTGTGATCAACAGCCGAGATATCAGAGAAACGAGCATACTTTCCATTAGGTGAGGTATCTAATGCTTTTAAACATTCTGCTATAGGCAACCAATTGTAGGTTTCAGGACAAGCTAAATAAGCTGGTGTATATTGGGCTTTATAGGACATTTTACGACATGAATGTATATAATAACCCATATAATATGATTTGAAATTTGAATACATTGAATCATTATTAATGGTAGAAGTTCTGGCCAACTGTCGAACGAAAGCAATTTCACTAGAAAAACAAAACGAAAAACATAGAAAAAAACAGATAGAGAACTGACTAATGAACGTTACGCATGCTAAGCCACCAGCTTCTTTGTCATTTATGCTGATTTCATTGACTGAGGTTTGTCGAAAAACAATTCTGCACAGAAGTGGACCACTTCCGGTTGCCACACTCCCTCCATGTACCACACAAAGCAAGGATTCAAAAGAATCAATGAGCAGAAATGTGAGGGAGAAAGAATGGTGACAAGGAGAGATACTTCCATATTAGTTTGTTAATTAGATGTATCACACAGTGATGAAACAGTATTATTTACTGGATGACAAGGTTTCGAACAAAATTTATTGTTCATAATCATAACATCAATTATAATCACACAACTTCGAAACTTGAGTTTTATAATTTTCTTTGTTCCCTCCTATTTGTCATAGGCTAGTAGGATTTTCCAAATATCTGCGACAGGTGTTGAATCCTTCCAATTACACGTATTCGCAGTTGATTCGATAAACAAAGCTTCCGTGATCAGTCTCTCCCTCCACTCACCCTGTGACATTATATTTTAAAAAACTGTCATCTTATCCCACCCATCCTATTGTATGGTTGTGTGTAATTCCATGTAGTGCTATAGCTGAATTATTCTTTAGATTTCTTATCTTATTCGGGTCAATTAATCTAGATTTTGTTAGGTTTTTATGTTCTGCTAGTCTGACTGCCCCTGTTCTACTAGATTGGTTGACCCAAATAAGATAAGAAATCTAGAGAATAGTTCAGCTGTAGCACTCTCTGCATGCAATTACACACAACCATACAATAGGATGGGATAGGATGACAGTTTTAAAATCTAATGTAACAGCAGGTTGGAGGGAGAGATTGATAACAGCGGAAGCTTTGTTTATCGAATCAACTACGAATACGTGTAATTGAAATGATTCAACAACTGTCCACCCAGATATCTGGAAAATTCTACTACCCAAACGACGACAAATAGGAGAGGACAAAGAAAACTATAAAGCTCAAGTTTCGAAGTTGTGTGATTATAATTCGTGTTATGATTGTGAACAATAAGTTTTGTTGGAAACGTCATTCAGTAAATAATACTGTTTCATCACTGTGTGATACATCTAATAAACAAACTAATATGGAATTACTTACTACCACAGTGCCCAAGTTTTACACATATATTAATAAGGAGAGACACTATGGATGAATGGATATGGGAAGACGCAAGGAGAGTAACGATTTTCACCCATATCACTAATTGTCTCCAGCCTTCATTGATTCTTATTATCCCAAGGACCTCAACCAGACAGCAGTTTGCGCCTCATAGAGTTGCTGCTGCTGCTGGATTCAACATAGAACTTGGCACCGAAGTGCAGCAGTTCGAGTTGCCACGTTCCAAATACCACACAAAGGTAGACAGGAAAATGAGAAGAGAATCAATAGAATTTAGATAAGTATAAGAGTGAAACAGAATGAGTAATGGTAGAAAGGAGTATGAAGGTTAAAGAGACTGAATACATCTGCGCCACTGACAACGATTTTGAGCCATGTCACCTAGTGTCTCCAGCCATTGATTCTTAGAGTCCCGAGGGCCCCAACCCGGAAGTCTGCATCTCCCTACCTCACTCAGTTTAACTGTCAGGGATTTCATGGATTGATGCCATGTTTTTGTTTGGCCACCACTTACTCCTCTCCAACCTGCACCTATATTAGCTAGTAATGCCCGTCGAGAAAGGGGAGGCGATGGCTAGGCATGCGCAGCACGTGACCTAACCATCTCAATCTATGTAACTTCATAGCCTCTTCGATTGATTTTCCCTCTTTGCCCAACACTCTACGCCTAAGGTCAACATTACTTACCTTATTATACCACCTAACGCGAGAAAGAGATCGTAAACATCTGTGGTCAAAAACAGACGATCTCTTCATGTCTTCCACTCTCAATGGCCACGTCTCACCGCCATAGAGGACGGAGCGAACTGCTGAGCAGTATACACATAGAGTGGCTAACTTAAACTCACTGGAGAAGCCATGTTTTTCGTTTGACCACCACTAGCCTTCTCTTTTCCAACCTGATCAACCCTATGTCAGCTAACATTGACTGTCGATCGAGGAAGACTACGGCTAGGCATGCCTACGTAACACATGTTCTTATCATCCCAGCTAGCCGCTTCTCAACCTCGTCGATTGATTTCCTTTCCCTACTCAACAATCGACCGATGCCGCACCTCAGTATTACCTACCCTATTATACCACCTAAAATGGGAAGTACAACGAAGATGCTTATGATCAAAGACAGCTAGCTAGCCAAGCTTTTCATGTCTTCCACTTGCAGTGGCTGTGACTCACTCACAGGCATAAAGGAGGACAGAGCACACTGGTGTGCAGTACACAAGCGTACACCACAGATGGTGTAAGGTGGAAACTACCACAGGAGCCTTTTGCATCGGTGTTGAGATTTCATAAGCATGCAAACGGTTGGGGCTTTGACAACTTCCCAAATAAGTGAAGCGGTCAAAAGATCCTACAGCCTCTCTCCCTATCTTTACTCTAGGAGTGAGTCGATGTAGTCCAGTCCAGTCCTGTAGCATCATCTTACGCACATTTGACAAAGGGAGCGAATCGCATACCAAATATTCAAAGATTGCTGCTTCTCAAGGTGCTCAGAAGACTCTATATTTGGTTTTAGTGTCTTCACCTTCTTAAACAATGTTAGCCAACACAGGATTAAACTGCAAAATATTTCTTTCCCGGTAATAAATTTCAAGCAAGCAACAATTGTGGTAGAATTAATACAATTATAAACATCTAGATATGAAAATTTTATTAAAATACAAGGAGGCTTTGTAAAAAAAAACAGAAATAAATAAATTTAACATGTTGTGGTATGTGCTACTGATTAGATTTGTTAGTAGCACATATATATATGGCTGTGTGCTAACTTAATAAACTGCTTTTGCAATCAGTAATGTTTTTCTTAGGGGCGAGTTGTAGAATAGGTCTTGGTGTTCTGACTACCTTATATCTCCTGATGAACTTGTCTGGATAATTTTTATCAACCAGAGTTTGTGTCAACTTTCTTTCTTCTTCATCAAGTGTGTCTTCAGTGCATATTCGTTGGATTCTACCGAAGTCACATATCGAAAATGTTAGACAAACATTACAAGGACTAATTGTTCTTCATACCGATGTGTCACTTATTTTATCTGAATTATCAATAATATGGTACATGAAATTCCTTCAGTTTTGTAGCAGTGTTACTCAGAAAACAAAGACAAATATACAAAATAAGTTGAAGAGTTCAACTGATGATCGAAACCACGTAGATCTTTTTCGGTGAATCCTGATAAGTATGTTACAAATCTTTCTGATATTACTCTATCTACTCATCAGAAAGAAGCTTTATCCCTTAGAATTAAATTTCGTGTTCCTCGCACGCACTTTACGGATTTAGCCATCCATGCTGAGTTTGAAAACTTATATGACCAACTCAAACCTGTTGGCGCAACATCCGATGAAGATCGGAGTTGGTTTAAGGCCAAGATGGTGGACATAACTCACCAGTTTTTAAACAACAACCCAAAAGATAAAAGTATTTTAAATTCCCAGCATTTCAAAGCCTTGAGAGAGCTACGGGAAAATTCCAATATAATTATTACGAAACCTGATAAAGGTTCTGAAAACGTCATTATGAATAAAAGTGACTACAAATCTAAAATGATGTCTATTCTTGATGATAAAAGCAAATTCAACAATGATCGCTCCTCAGAAGTTATTTAGTTGTTGCAGGGCACAGTGACAGCTAATCTAGTGAAGCTTCGTGGCCTAAATGCTATAAGTAAAGATAAATTTGACTCGTTAAAGCCATCAGATTGTAAATTCCCGCATATGTATGGCTTGCCAAAAATACACAAACCCAATAATCCTCTACGTCCTATACTGTCAATGTGCAAATCCCCAACACATAAACTTGCTAAATGGTTAGTAGAATTATTGCGTCCAGTAAAAACACAATTCTGTAAGTATGTGTTAAAAGATACATTTGAATTGGTTAATTTTCTTGACGATAATAATATTATGAATAAGAATATGTACTCTTTTGATGTAAACTCGTTATTCACTAATGTGCCTTTGCTTAAAACAGTTAACATTTTGTGTGATTACATTTCCACAAAAAATTTTTTCATTCCGTTCCCTATATCTTATTTAAGGAATTTATTACTTCTATGTACTAGCAATGTAAGATTTACATTTGAAGGCGATTGTTTCCGATAAGTTGATGGTGTTGTTATGGGAAGTCCTTTAGGGCCCCTTCTAGCTGATATCTATATATCGTACGCTGAGAGTTTATCGGAGGATTTAATCGAAAATGTACCACTTTATAGAAGGTATGTAGACGACATTGTTCTCCCTTGTTCTGCCACGTCAATTTTAAATCGAATGAATGAAGTTCAGAATAGCATATCACTTACATCTGTAGAAAACGAAGAGAACTGTTTATCTTTCCTAAACATATTGCTTAGTCGACGGCTTGATGGGTCAATAAAACGATCTATTTATTGAAAACCTACCTGGACAGAACAGTATCTCAGTTATCACAGTTTCTGCCCTGTTCGGTACAAAAGAGCCTAAGTAAGGTGCCTCTTCAGTAGAATCCAACGAATATGCACTGAATACAGACACACTTGATGAAGAAGAAAGAAAGTTGACACAAACTCTGGTTGATAACAATTATCCAGACAAGTTCATCAGGAGATATAAGGTAATCAGTAATGTATTGACAGTTACTGACAATATAAAAATCGACTTTTCTTGATAATTAAACATGAAAAGACAGTTGTCACTATTGACTAAAACACATTAAATAATTAATATAATATGTGGATTGGATTTAAAGGTATAGTGTTCTCTACAGCAAACAAACATAAGACACCGGTTACATTTTACCAGATATCCAGAAGAGACGTAGAATTATTTCTGTTGCACGGATTACCTTTCAGTTGATTCGATAAATAAAGCCTTCGTTATCAATGTCGTTCCCTCCTACCTGTTATAATTAGATTTGTAAACTGGCACTTGGTCTCATCTTATTATTAGTATATGGTTGTGTGTAACTGCATACAGTGGTGCTATAGCTGGGTAGTTTTCTGGATTTCTTTTTTACAGTATTAGGGTCTACTAATCTATATTTGGTTAGGTTATTGTGCTCTATCTGACTGACTGACTGGTTTCAACATAGAACTTTGCACTCATGTGCAGCAGTTCAAGTCGCCACACTTCACTCAGTGCACAAAGTCAAAGAAGATAGTAAAACGAAAAGCAAAATAGAGACATTAAACAGAAATATCAGACAAAAAGAATAGTAATAACGAAGAACAATAGAGTTTCATAGGGTATTATAAGTCACAAGGAGTGGATGCATCTGCGCGAGCCATTGAAAACGATTTTGAGCCAGCAATATCACCGATTACCTGCAGCCGTCATTAGTTTTTACCGTCCCGAGGACTCCAACCAGTCAGGCAGTCTACACCTTCCTACGTGGCAGGCTTAAACTAACTATTGTGGATTTCATTGATTGGTGCTATGTTTTTGTTTGACCACCACTAACCTTCTCTTTTCCAACCTGACCCATACTATGTCAGCTAATATTGCCCGTCGAGGAAGGCGATGGCTAGAAATGAGTAATACATGGCCTAACCATCTCAGTCGACGTTACTTCACAGCCTCGTCGATTGACTTCCCCTTCTTATCTAGCACTCCACCGACGCCTTACCTCAATATTCCTCACCTTACTATACCATTTCACACTGGAGAAAGAACGCAGACACCTATGATCAAAGACAGCTAGCTAGTCAGGCTTTCCATGCCTTCCACTCTCAATGGTCAGGTCTCACAGCCATAAAGGAGAACGGAGTGAAATGCTGAGTAGTATACACGTCCTTTGGTCAACAGCGGGATATCACGTCTACACAATAGATGGAGTACGTCGGCAAATAAATGCCAAAAGAAACTTCTCCAATCGTACTGAGATTTCGTCAGCAATCATCAACCCGTTGGGACTGGCTGATGCAACTTCCGAAATAAGTGAAGTGGTCAACACGCTCCACCAACCACTTCACTCCTTATCATTAAGTTATCAGTCGATATAGTCCAGTCCAGTCCTGTAGCATCATCTTACATTTGATGGAAGCAAATCGTATGCCCAACACTCGAAGATTGCTGCTCCTCAAGGTGTTCACAAAACTCCGCATTTTGTTAACATCTTCACCTAGAAGGACTGCAGGTTTGTTTGTTTAATCATATAAACAAACTTTGAAAGTTATGTGAGCACCTTGATATTGATTATTTTATTATTTATATTTTATCCCTTTGCGTTCCCAGTGCAAATGCACAACTTCAAGCTTGATTTTTGAAGACCAAGTAAGTAGCAATGGTGCGATCCTTTCCAACGGGATAGCCCCAATCTTCATTCTTCACCGGGTCACCTATTACCGGCTAAGCGAGGTTAAGAAGTACGTCAGCCAGGAGTCGAAACCTGAACCTCATGAGACGCGGCCAGTGAGTATTCTACCACAGAACCACCAACTCACTTTGATACGTGAAGTAGCACTACTAATGAATGAGAAATTAAGGGATAGGCAATAACAGATCGATATGAGACGTCTGATAAAGTATGAGTAATAAAACATGCTATAAACATCACACCACTGTGCTTTTTAACCAGACAAATTTAATCTATTATGAAGTTAACAATGATTACTAGTTCAACTGTTTAATGCATACACTCACTCACTCAATCGCTATCACACATGCACACACACGAACATAAAGACATGCATACATTCACACTTAACTCACCGTAATGCTGTATACGTGCCAAGATGTAGAAATGCATATTGTGGATCATAGAAAACATAAACTGATGAAAGACATTTCGGGAGGATATCGATTACACCGACAGCAATTATTTTCTCACCATCAAGCCAGTATTGTTGATGATATGAACCGAACATAGGTGAAGTGGAATTCCATTCAGGATTATCCTGATTTTTATTTTGGTAGTTTGTTTTAGATGAATTGTATTGAAGAAGAACAAGAGAATATCAAGATTAAGAGAAACAATAAGACGTACATAACCGAACACAACAACAACAACAATAACACTGTAGACCATACATGAATCAATTTATTTCATAAATTTATTCCCTTTCATGAACAGTTTTGGCAGAATAAAATGGTACCATCCTTTGTTTGTTTCGTCGGCTCCTCATCAACTGCTTACAGCTCGAAGTCATTATTAACTATATCTACAGAAACAATTTTAACATACTTGCACAGAGTTCATTTTAAACGAAAATCAATCAATCAATATATGCATACAGTAATAATATATACATAAATATATGTAATATTAAACACTATTCCGAACAATAATGATCATACACAATGGAAACTTTCGGCATTACGTATTCAGATGAAAGAGAGATGAAAATATCCAGTTACCAGGGCAAAGAAAGACTGATAACTATTTCCTTCTGAACGCTTTCAGGTACTTGATGGAAATGGCTCTTTCGCCTATTGATAATTTTGAACGACTTTTCGAAACTATTGAGATCATTTGTCAGCAGTCTGATCTTCTCCCACTCCCAGAGTCGGAATTCAAACGCCTACTGCGCTTATGTGTACCATGGATGTGCAATTCCAATTTGACAACACTCTTTAACGCCAAATAGATGGTGTAGCTATGGACACAGTCCACTTAGCCCTGTTTTAGCAGATATAATATTCATGTCCAACCTTGAAAGAACAAAGTTGAAGCATACAATCGACGAAACAACTTCCTACTGTCGATATGTTGATGACACATTTATAGTGTGCAAAAATGAAAGTCATGCTTCACACTTACTCAGATTATTCAATGATGCACACACCAATATTGAGTTTACTATGGAACATGAAAGTGACGGAAAGTTCCACTTCCTCGACATTGCAATGCAACGCCTAGAAGACGGTAGTCTTCAGAAGTCAATTTATCGAAAGCCTACTTGGAAAGGACAATACTTACATTTTAATAGCTTTTGTCCAAATAGCTTTAAACGCGGACTAGTCAAGACTCTGTACTATAGAGCGAGGAGAATATGCTCTATAGAGAAATTAGAGGAAGAATTTGAGTTTCTTGAAAAGATGTTGAAGAGCAATGGGTACCCTCAAAGGTTCATCAACAAGTATGGAAGATCTGAAGTCACAAATGTAAAACAAATCACAGTGGGTAAAAAGCCAATCTACATTCAGCTTGATTATAAAGGTGAAAACATTGCAGCAATGATCAACAGAAGACTGAGTACATCACTAGCCATAGCCTATCCCTCAGCTAAGCTCGTTCCCGTCTATCGAACAACTTGCTCTTTGGTGCAATCAAAAATCGATAGATATCCTTCTCATGTTAACTCCAACTGTATATACAAATTTACATGTATCTGCGGGAGCAGTTACATTGGAAGGACAGAAAGAAGGGCATATCTACGATTTTCTGAACATGTACCAAAAAGCTTATGTCTAAAGGGAACAAATGCTTTAAACAGTGACATCGCCAGGCATCTCCTTGACACGGGTCATGAGGTGGACGTCGCAAAATCGCTCAAAAAATTATCAATAGGCAAAAGAGCTCAATTCTTCTCAAGTTTGTTGAAGCCATTTCCATCAAGCGCCTGAAACCTGATTTGTGCGTTCAGAAAGAAACAGTTATCAGTCTTTCTTTGCCAACCTGATAACTGGATATTTTCATCTCTCTTTCATCTGAATGCGTAATGCCGAAAGTTTCCATTGTGTATGATCATTATGGTTCGGAATAGTGTTTGTTATTATTATTATTATTATTATTATTATTATTATTACTGTATGCATATATTGATCGATTGATTGATTTTTGTTGAAAATGAACTCTGTGCAAGTATGTTAAAATAGTTTCTGTAGATATACTTAATAATGACTTTAGGCTGTAAGCAGCTGATGAGAAGCCGACGAAACAAACAAAGGATGGTACCATTTTATTCTGGCAAAACTGTAGGTCTTGCTTTGTTCAAAATCAATTTATTATTACGTGTTAGTTTGCAGGGATTTGATTGGTTACAGATTTGATCATGAGCAGCTGACATCAGTTAGAGAACCACTGAGAAGCCAGTGTATACTAAAAAGCTGTTTCATCCTAGTTTGGGACTCTTCATCAGTGCGCACCTACCGAGTTTCGAACCCAGGATCTTTCGATTACAAGACGAACTCTCTATATGTATATCGCGAATTGGTAGAAGTTGAAGTTCATGGACCACTGAACCGTGTCCCAGTGGCTGTGAATGGTCTGTGAGATCACTTTGTGACTGGAGGGTCGTGGGTTTGAACCCCTGTGCTGGATGTGTACTGATGAAGAGTCCCAAACTAGGATGGAACAGCTTTTTAGTATACACTGACTTCTTAATGGTTCTCTACCAATCAAATCCCTGCAAACCAACATATGATAATTAACCTGATGCTCATTAGTGACTGGCTATATACACGAAGTTAAATGGAGTTCTAGTAGCAAGCTGCAACCAGCGACATCTACCAAGTCAGGGAAGAGAACAGTTAATCGACTACTGACAATGGCTGGCGGTTGTGCTAAATATACATTTCACGAATTGGTAGAAGTTGGAATTCATAGGATGGCCAATGGATCTGCTCACAGTAGCTGAGTGATATACGTGCTCGCCTCGTAACAGGGAGGTCCTGGGTTTGAGGATCAGTGAGTGCGTACTATTGAAGAGTCCCAAACAAGGGAAAAGACCAGACTCTGTCTTGCTAAAAAGTCAATTATGTACTCACTAAAGTCGATAGAAAATAAACCGCTTAATGTGGGTGAATACAACCAGTTATTATTATTATTCCATTGGGTTTCGAGTGAAACATAGGGCATCAACAACACATCTCCAATTTCTCCTATTTTCTGCTATCCTCTTCAGCTGGGTCGACGATTGCCCACAGTATCTCATCTCCTCAACAAACGATCTCCTCCGTGTCACCCTCGCAGCGACGACCCACTCGTCGCTTCCCATTCGGATTCCACTCGAGTGATTCATTGAGCGCGATGCCATTCGACGGCCTCCTCAACGTATGGCCGATCTATCCATCTCAATTTCCTCCTAAATTTTTGTTGAGCTATCATTTGTTAGTTGGTTTGTTGCCAGACAGAGTGTTTCTTATTGCTAATTCTTTCTGGCCAACCTGCCATTTGATCTTCAGTATGGTGCCAGCGAGGATAGCTGTTGATAAAACTCTGCAACCTGTTGGAAATCCTTTTCGTGACACACGCTGCAAGTTTCTGACCCGTATAGACGAATTGACCTACTTTGCATTGGTGTTGAAAATCCGAATCTTATTCGTTGTGTGTTGCAGATTGCAGAAGATTTCTAAACTGGTTTCAGGTTGATAGAGGCGTATCTTGTCTTTCCGATCCTGACTGGATTTGACATCTTCATCCGTTCCGCTAACTGCGGTTGAAACAATGCTTCCTAGATAAGTGAAGGAAGTTACCTCTTTCAAATTTCCCCGTTGACAATGATTGGTGCTGGCTGTTGTTGTTGCTGTTGGTTGGTTGGTTGGCTATCTTCATCGCCTCTGTCTTCTCTGCCTGCTTCTTCAGCCAGTTTGTTGCTCTTCGCCTAAAAGTCTTCGAGTTTGTGTGACATTAGGCATAAATTGTGAGCCTCGAACTCCAGATCTTCTAGAGTCGTCTTATCAGTATAACGTATTCCTGTCTCCTCACTAACAATACACAGTCTGACGCATAATCCAGTCCACCATAATTAGGAATATGATCAGTGATAATAGACAGACTAGTCTTCCTTCCTGTATTCACTTCAAACGCCTCGCTGAGTTTTCCGTTGTATTCTATGTTGAATGAGGTTGATAAAGACTTGGGCACCGCACGCCATAGTATTGAAGTAGTTTCCAAATTACTTTTCGGTTTACGCTGTCAAAGGCCTTCTGGAAGTTGATATCGATGACAATGCATAGATTTGCAATTTGATCCGCAGCACATGATGATTTGCCTTTCCGGTAAATCCAGCTCGTTCCGGGTGGGGGTGGGGGGAGTTCTGCATCCAGTACATCTTTTATTCTACCCAGGGAATACTAATCTCCTACTCACCATAAAAACAAGCGAGAGAATATGAAATAAAGGAACGAAAGAAGGCAGGAAATGGAAGGGCAATGAATAAATAAATTAACTTACCAATACTAATGGAGATTTAATTAAAAATCGTTTGAATTGTTCCCAATTACAATCATTGATATCATCTTTGTGAATATGAATTTGATATTGTTCATAAATTTTATGTGATAATTTTATAGCAGATTCATAATTTACATCTGTGAACGGGAAGGTTGTACGGATTAAACGAATCTATATAAAAATAATAATAATAATAACAAAAATAATGGGGGATAAAATATCAAATGATTTGAAGGTAGGACTTTATTACGTACGCTTTAACACATGAGCGTTGATCAGAAAACGTTTTGTGTTCACCTCAGAGCTCAAGAGACAACTGACTGATGCCGGTCGAATATATAACTAACTAGCTGTCTGCTTTCAACATAGAACTTTGCACAGATGTGCAGCAGTTCGAGTCGCCACACTCCTTCCTTGTACCACACAAAGCAAGAGAAAAAGTAAAAAAGAAATGCAAAATAGAGATATGAGGCAAAAGGAATAGTAATTTCGAAGAACAATAGAGTTTTATTGGGTATCATAAGTCACAAGGAGTGGATGCATCTGCACCAACCATTAAGAACGATTTTGAGCCAGCCACATCACCACCAATTGCCTCCAGTCTTCATTGATTCCTACCATCCTGATGACTGCAACCACTAAGTCTACACCTCCCTAGGTGAATGGCTGGGTTAAACTAACTGCTGTGGATTTCATTGACTGGTGAAG